TCTATATATATATATATATATATATATATATAGAGAGAGAGAGAGAGAGAGAGAGAGAGTGTGTGTGTATATATATATACTTGAAATTCAAGTTAACATTGTATTATTTCTTCCATTGCTAATGATGGAATAACACATGGTACAGACAATAAAAATATTAATTTCAGTGCACGTTTAATGATTCAACAGTATTATGAACACATTTAAACATCCAATAAATGTTTTTTTTATTTCTACTTTTAACACCAATGTCAACTGCTTTTATGAAATATGCACTTCAACATTGATATTGTTTATATTAAATGAGAGTAAGGTAGCTTTGGTAAAGGAGGAAGGGGTCTTTAAATGGAAAGTTACTAACAAACAGTGCAATTCTTTTTTACCTTTTAGAGGTCAAAATAGCATTTTACTACTAAAATTCACAAAATCTCGAAGAAGACATTTACACGGTGTCGGGATTTTTAGGCATCTGTGGGCTGGATTCTTTACAGTAGGTGTCTGTTAATTGTTGGTGATCAATTTCAACAATAAGTAAACTGCACACAGTCCACTTGTTTTGAAATTATATATCAAAACAAGACAAACGTATGTACAAGTTGTATCCAGAGCTTTAAGTAATTGTCTCTTTTTTTTTTCGTCAAACTCCATACAGGATGGTTCAGTTACTTTACAACAAAATTTGACAATGCGAATTATTTTACTGTACTCTGTTATTACAAAATAGTCTGTGATAATTTCACTCCAAAATCACCACTAGAACTTTGTTACCACAGTTATATCCAGAGCTTTAAATAATTGTCTCTCTCTTTTTCTTTTTTGTTTCATCAAAGTCCATATAGGCTGGTTCAATTACTTTATAACATAATTTTTTACTCTCTTATTACAATACAGCTTGTGATAATTTCACTTTAGAAATCGCCCATATGTGTTTTTCATGGTTAAGCTCACCATCACACGCACACTAGATCTATCTATTTTGACTAACCATGTCTTGTACCCATATTTATAGCTTGACCGAGGCCTAGAAGTTTTACACACTGTGAGACATGATGTAATATTACACAATCAAAACAACGAGAAAACTTAGAAAGTTCTAGTAACATAATGTGCCAATTCACAACAATTGAACAACACAATGTATGATTAATATACAACTAAGTAAACAAACCTGCGATAAACTGTCACTACTAAAAATAAATTTAACACTCATATCAAACTTAAATTGAAACAGTTGTGTATATCTAACAATAACCCTTCTTCAAGTGAAATATTTACATTTTTTGTACTATGTACAAAGACTGTTTTCAACTCATGCACAAAGTCTACTGCTATAGTATGCACCAACATTTGCAGTTCACATGATGGCCCTCACTCTCCTGAACAACTCTTTCAGTTTCTTTAGGTGGTCTTCCAATCTGGCTGTGTAGGTCAGAATGTTGTCCACATATTGCTTGATGTTGATAGTTTTGTACAACATCATCATCATGCCGTTGAATATTGCTGCTGAGTTGACTAACCCAAGTGATATCCTTTTGAACTAGTAGCATCCATCTGTTGTCGCAAAGGCTGTCTTCTCTTTAGATCCTGTCTCCATTAGGATCTGCCAATAACCTTTACTGAGGTCGATCTTTGTAAAGAACTTGACCCCATCTAGTTTCACCCATAGATTCAGAGTCGAACTTCGTCACGAAGTTCAGCTTCTGGAAATCTATGCAGAAGTGGTTGAGCCATCCCTCTTCTTCACAATCACCAGATGTGAACAGTAGGCTGAATTCGAAGGCTCAATGATTCTCACTTTTAACAGCCCCCCAGTGGCACAGCGGTATGTCTGCGGACATACAACGCTAGAAACCGGGTTTCGATACCCGTGGTGGGCAGAGCACAGATAGCCCATTGTGTAGCTTTGTGCTTAACTTCAAACAATAAAACACTTCTAGCATTGCCTCAATTTCACAGCTAATAGTTTCACGTTGTGACGTTGTTGCAACATTACATATTAGTTGCCACAATGTTAGAGGTTTACGTTACAGCAACGTAAGTTTGTGGACTCTCAGAAACGTTGTTACAATATTGTGGTTTTACGTTGCCTTGCTACTTTCCTTCAACCATTATGCCATTTTCTAACTCTATCTGGATTGCCAGGGTGGCATTATGCCACCACTGTTTTTCTCATATTTATACTTAATTAATTGCATGAAATTTGGTACATACTTTTTATATATGTACTTGTAAGCAGATCACAACCTGTAGCTGCCTATCTTTGGCATGATTCGCTGGATTGTTTCCCCACAAGTTTGGCCACCATGGGAACCCAAACACGAAAAATTATTATAAAAATACTTACTTTAATGGACTTTGATGCAACTTTGTATATCATATACACACACACACTTTACAGTATATTTAAACAATTAACTGAAGGACTTACCTTTTTTTTCTTTCTGAAGGAATCATCCTCTAACTTCTTATCAGACTCCTTCAGCCAAATGGCTTTAGAAGCACATCCTCTAGCATACAGTTACCATCCCCTCCATTTCTTCCCCCACTTGCCATTTGGCAAAGAAAAACTGTCTGTTGCTTTTGATTGTCCAGGATGTGGTCCAACTTCAACAGCACACTCATCTGAAAGTCTGTTCATGAAAATACCTATTTGATAATTTGTCAAATAATATTTGAAAATGTTAAAACTACACATTATAGGCAGAAATACAAAACTGTAATTGTAAATTACTGCTTATAAAATAAATGCAAACTATACTGAATA